GGCTACTCTTTTACCAACGAATAGTGGGACTGACCGTCACATTATAACGCCCCCACGGCTGAAAGGGCGAGCATGTTTGGTGTGACGGGGATTCGAACCAGTGACCCGCAGATTGCGAGTCTAGTGCCCTAACCACCTGGCCATGCCGGGCCTGTACTTTAGCCTCACACTCATTAATAAAAAACTTAAAAATTTGCAACTTCTAAATATATACAAGCAGGTTAATGTTTATAGAATGTCTCACCTAGCACTAATATTTTTGTGTCATATTTAGTTAAAAGCTTTTCTTATAAAAACAATCAACTGATTCTTAATCAATTTCAGACTTTTAACAAATGGTAAGCTTGAAAAGAAATATTCTTTTCATTATGGTTTTCTTTTTTTGCTTAAAAAACGTCCGAATATTGTGGGTGAAAAATAGAAAAACAAAATTTTTTTGGCACTATAGCTGAGTCATAAAGAAAGAGAATTATTACAGATACAAGTAACCTCTCAGTATAGCAAATTAAACTTTCTATATACATATAACCAAGTATATGAAATTGAAACTACAAAACTTCTTAACAGTGAAAGTAAAGATTAAAATTATGCTATTTACTAGGAAAAAGACCTTTTTTCTCAACAGTCACAAATGTCTATTACCACAACCAATAAATGTATTTTCCAATATTTTAAAAATTTTAAGAAAAACAATTGAAATAAAACACAGTCACAATCTATTTTAAGAACTTATAAGTGAAAGTAAACATAAATATATCAACCACACAACATCTGCCATATCCACTGCTGATGAAGCCTTTCACACAATGCCAGGGCTCATCATGCTATCTGGGATATGACAGACATTTTAGTAGATTAGATGCTATTTATATTATCCATTTGAAAGAACAACAAGTTACAGTGTGAACTAGATTAAGTATTAAAGCGAACTGTAAATTATCAATTTTATTTGAGTCATTTAGAATTAGGGTAAGGATTAATAATTAATTATTTTATTTGAATTAACTTTACTAACATCCAGAAGAACTGCCAAACCAGCAAGTATTGATGTATAAACAGTGAAAAATAATATTCAACAAATGTTCGAAATTAAAAAAATAAATAAACACTTGACCCCAAACTCTGCAACATATATTGCTGTAATCATACACTTTTTTCCTTTTTTGAATCAGATCTGTGAAAACTTTTCTGTGCAACACTAAGCAATAGCCCCATAAGACGAATGGATATCAGATGAATTACTATCAATCATAGTAGCATCCTCAACTGCAACATGTCCATTTTTAGAAGAAACTTTTTGAAGCGTTTTACTAGAATGCTGCTGTGTGTTGTGTAAAACCTCTTTGAAAGAATCACGAAGTCTTTCATAAAATGTTTTTTCCAGTAGCTCATCAGGTTTCTGGAAATCAAAATCTGCTACTTCAATCTTTTGTTTATTCTGCTGCTGTAGGTGATAGGTAACACCAGTAACTATGATAATGATTGCCAAAACAGTACATGACACTGGCACTATTACCATAGATAGCTGCTTCTTTCTTGAAACTGTAAAAACGAAAAATAATTGCTGCTTTGATGGGACAGGGAACACTTATTTCCATTAATCTCTAATTTACTATAATTATAATTGCTAAAATAATTTAGGACAGTGAACATGTAATCTGAATTAGACAATTGTCAAGATACTGATTAAATAACCTTTTAAATTAAAATACTGGCAAACAGCAATTGGCTTTCACATAACTTACTTGCTAGATTGAACTTTAGAACAATTGTTCTTATATTATTTAGATGAAAATTCATAGTGATTTACTAAATGCTTCTGTCTGTACCTGTTTTCACATTACTTTCGTAGAATGATTAATTACTTCTTTCATATAATAAGTCAAAGATTCAATTGCTCACCATCATATATTTGGACATCTACTCCTTTTTGAAGATGAGCAACATCATTTGCAATGTACATCCCTATGTGGTATGAGCCAGGACTGGAAAAGTAGTGTACAATGGGAAAGCTGCAGTTGGAAGTGACAACTGGCTCTGGGCAGGTCAAGTTAGCTGGTAGTTCCCCTGTGTCATATACCTTCCAACAGTACTCATATGGTCCACTAAAAATTAAGATATACATAAATATAGTTCAGTTTACATTTGCCAGATTAACCACATTTCAATTATAAAACCTGTACTCACACTGTACACATACCTGAAAATGAGTAGATGAGAGTATAAAACAAATTATTATTTTTTGCAATGATAACATTTTCTGATAAACTTTAACCAAATGTACACTTAGTCGGTCGAATGGGCCAAAAATATATTGGAGAAGAAATGTTAATTATAATTCCAATTTACCATATGTATCTACACAAAATCTGGTGAGCTTTTAGTAAAATGTATAAGTCTTTTGTAAACAAAAAAAACAGATGTGTTATAGAAGTATGTGTACTCAAATTATGTTTGTGAATTGATGATGTCAGTCTGACTCAGACTCTAACAGATTGGATTGCAAGGTAATGTTCATGTGAAGAATAAAAATACTTTTATCCATCATTCAGTTTCAGCATTACATTTTCCTAACCTCTACAACCTCCAAAATGCATATCTACGGTTTTTTCAGTATCCCTGTAAACTGAATCTGTTATTTAATTTTCTTTACCGTGAAATTTTGGTAAATCACCAGTGTAAGGTAAAATGATAACTGTGATATAAATCCATAATACTATGTAAGATAGCACTCTGAAAAAGGTCATGGTGTGAGCACTTTGATTCCCACCAATTCATATCAGGTTAATTACGTCTCCTGATATGTAATCTTTATTATAATTCTCAACATCTTCATCACAGCAATTTTTACTATTCATACACATGTACTCTTACAAGTTCAAATGAGTTATTTCCAATACTGTTATAGAATTCAAATACATAATTTTACGTATTGTTATTCATGAAAAAATGCCCACAAGATTTGTTTTGTTTTTTTACATCTATCCACTGCTGAACCATATTATGTGAATTTTAAAAAATTATACAAAAGGAGAGATAAACATTCTGATGAAAGTGTAATCAGAATATTAATTGCAACAAAAACTTTACTTCTGAAGTTAGTTATGGCTAAAGTTTAATCCAAACAAATATACTTAACATCTTATATAAATCGTATACTTTTTTTAAAGATAAAGAACAATTAAGCGAAAGTGATACAAATGTCAATTAGTTTCTGGTAACAATGTTATGGTGTAAAAATGATTACAAATATAATTATAACAAACTCCTTTATCTACATATAAGTTAGCTTCAGCAAGGTTACAGCATCCAAACAAAAATATTTTGTAGATAAGGGAATGTTGCATCAAGAGAGCTGACATTTTATGATACTGTATAGCCTAGAGGACATTCATTCCCACCTTTGATACCCACATAGCATCTTGAAAACAACAGATTAATGTCAATTCTAGCACTGTTACAACTGTTTTTGTCTTGAAGTGGTGCATTTTTGTAACATAATTCAATAATAACCATGTTCTAGAAGAAGTCTGAGATGAAGCTTGTCCAAAACATAACTGATTATTAGAGCCTGGTACCAAACAGGTATGACTACAAGTAAGCCAAAATAAACTGGCTTTACACTCAAGCTTGTGTGTTTCTAGGTCATGATGGTATATCCCCATTTATCATAGAGCCAAAATATTTATCTGAATAACATGAGTGCATAATATTTGAAGTAAATAAAATTCTTACATATAAAAATATATGTACATACACAACTTAGATGTATATTTAATAACAAATGTGCATTTATGCTAATTAAAATAAAGAAAACCGTTACTAAGTGGATATACATTTCAAAATTCACCAATAACATGAAACAATGAACAGCATGAGTACAGCTAATGTAAACTCCCTGATTAAAGTAATGTAAACTAATTCATAATCAAGAAGCATTATTAATACAATAAACAATTCATCTGTACATCAAGAAGTAATTAACAGCAAATATCATTATTTTTTTTGCACACATATTCTTCTCTCTTAATTACTTATATGAAATTAAGTAAGGCTCAGTTACAGTTAAAATTTGAATTTATAAGAAAATTCATTGGATAAAAGCTTATTTTGACAATCCTTGTAATAGCTACAGCAAGGGTGAACCAATTACTACATCAAATAAAGAAGTTAAGAACTCTAATAATTAATCTTGATTTTTTCAGAGTAAAACTCTCAAAATAAATTGGCAACTTTGACAACTCAGTCAAGATCAGAGATAATCTAACTATTCTCGTTATTATACTGTTGGTGAAGGTAGAAAAATTTTTTTAATCATTAAACCATGCATAAAAAATGACCATTACTCACAAAACACAAGTAAAAACAATAAGAGTCAGTCTCAACATAGGGAGTTCAATAACAATAACAAAAAAAAGAGGTATGAAGTATAACTGCCATAGTGGTTAAAGAAATTGTATAAAACTTAAGGCCACAACTACAGCATCAAACATAAGGAACAATAAAAATTAATAGCAACAGTAGCCATTAGAGTGATGATTAAATTTTCTTATAAGTTTGGTGAATACATAAGCTAATTTTCTAATTATTATTCAGGTCCAAGATAAATGCTTATTTTGAAAAATGACATTTGCTACAGAACAATACATGTAGATCATTCTTGCCTTCCATTACAGCTAACTTCCAGAATTAACAGATCTCCATGTTCAAGATAAAGGTTGCCATTCACGTTGATATTTCCTATAGGATCTAAATTCCAAAAAAAAAGGTCAGTATTAGTCTGAAACTAAATATTAACATTAAGTTTAAAGATAAATACTGCATACTTTCAGTAACACTGCTACACTATAAAATATCATTTTGAATCTGAAAAACAAAGAACTATTACAAAAAATTGAAACAAATATAAATTGTAAAATATTAAGCTGAAGAAATATAATATTTTGGCTCTTTTTTTTCTATGAGGTGCATTTACATTTTTGGATTTTGTTTTAGTAGAAACCTAAGTAGTTTAAACAACAGAAAGCCAGATTTTCTTGTTTTCTAATCCTATGTAATACCTTGAATACTGTGTTACCTCAAAGAATTATTATATGTTACACTAGGATATGACTTAAAACAAAGATATTTTATGCATATCACATTAATCTCAAGAGCATTTTATTACTCTGGCAGACTGGTTTATCTGCTACTTATAGTTACATGTATTCTGAAAAATGTATTAAACAATGCTGTTTTGAATACTAAGTATTTCTTATTTTGTCTGTACGTTAGTATCTGTATCATACATGAAACATATATCTATAAATAAAGAGTCCATCTAACTCCCATTATGTAGGAAGGGAGTGATAACATCATATATATAATAACTATTAGTTTATAATGACAACAGAAATTGTGAATTTATATAAATATATATATAATCTGGTTTTAAGAGTTACAAACTGTAGAACAGCTCAGTACCCTGTAAATAGTTATCTAAAATTATCATAGATATAATATTAATAAAACACTTAGATCCCTACATTCAATGTTACACTGAAAAACACAACAGATTCTATTATACAATTTTTTAAATTTTGTTTAAAAGAACTTTGATAATATGTTGAAGAGAGGATTAAAATTAATTAACATTTTATAAATACTAAATATTTCTTTGTGGCAGCTTCAGAATTCAACTGATGACAACTTGATACTTAATTATGTATCTAGAATTTCAATTTGCATCTTTAATATGCCAAAGCTAGCAAACCATGAAATATTTTACACTGGAAAGTGTAAAACATCAAGCATAAGATCTATAGTAGCATTAACTTCATTCTTAACTGATCCAACACAGATGTGTCAAAAGAAAAAATATTAAAAAGATTACAAATAGCTTTTCTTCTGCTATAAACCAATTCTGACAAGGACTTTTAGCTAATATCAGAGCCCACCAGTTTAGATATAGCAAACAATCTTAGTTCAACAGCTATTCCTAAGTAATATACTGAAAAATAAAGGTTAAAAAATATGGAAAATGAAACCTGGTGCTGCAGCTCAATCACTCTTATGGCACGTGATATTGAGAAAAAAAAGCCTTGTTGCAGCACATTATAGTTGAAATGTTTTGCTCATAAAACCTATACTGTATTAGATCTGCTAACAATTAAGTAGTACGAATTACTATGACTGAAACTGTAATATTTAAGATATTGAGATGCAAAAAAGCTGAAAATTACATAAAAAATGCACCTTGTTATAAAAAAGGTTAACTGTACCTTTAGCAATAACCTGCTGGTTTAAAAAACCCCATCTTGTATGACCTCTAAAGGAGAAATTAGTTTTGTTCTGAGTCTGAGAGACAGGAGGTATGAAAGCTACAACAGTTACATCAATTCCATATCTGCCAGGATGTGAGAAATTGTAAATTAAACTAGGACCTGCATCAATAATGTTATAACCATCAATCTTCCATGAGTAAGAAATAATAGCATCATCTAGAAAACCACTAGGATCATGAAGAGTAACAGTAAGATTGGTTTCTTCTTCTGTTGACAACAGAGGTAAGTCTGACTCCTGTTCACTTTCAACTTCTTGGTTAACAGTAATGTGTCCAACCAGTTCATCTGCATGAAAAAAAGTACACTTAGGATAATAAGCAATTAAATAAATATTTATTCAGTAGTTCATTTACAAAAAACTATGAAAAAAACTCATCCCAGTAGGTTCTGGCTTATCTAGAGTTTGTAACTAGAATAAGACATTGTATACAAGCAAAACCATGAGAACAAAAACATGTCTGAGCCAATTAAATATCAATAAGCACAGAATCATTTATTCATTATCCACATTTCTGATCCTATGATTAAAGGCATATTTCAAATGTTTTGAATACCAAGTATTAAAAACAGACAAAACAGTGATAAATCAAGAATACAAATTCCTTCAATACTGTTAAAAAGTCACATAATTGCCATCACCAAAGGAAAGTTTCCACAAATGTTAGCTGAACTATAAAATTTAAATTACTTTATTTTTACATCACATTTCACAAATATGTTACCTATTAAGAGCTTGAGATATTTGTGAACCAACTTACTAAAAATTTTAATGACTCAGCAGTTTAACAACTTATTAACATCCTAACAAAATATTCATTCCAAAGAAATCATGGAATACAAAATATAGCTGGTTGGAGTTGATTATGCTCAAGTCTTGATTCTCTTCAAGTAACAAACTGCATTAAGTTATCCAAGATGAATTCAAATGCTTTGCATGCCTAATTCTTAATAAATATTATTTCTCAGTAGTTACAGCTTTTGGTTTGTGGTGTACATGTACTTTCAAGTTAGGTTTTATAAGTTTCCATTCTTCTAGAGTTGATTGAAAGGTTCTTCTGGGAATTTTAAACAAATGTTATTGTAGAGTTGAGTGAAAGGCTTTCAGGAACCTTAAAGAAATCTTTCATTTTTGTATAGTTATTGAGGGAAATGCCTTTTGCAAGACAATGCATTTTACTCTAAATGCACACATACACAGTTTCCATTAGTATTCTAACCATTCTAAAAACATTAAATAATAAATTGCACAAAAATCATTTATCTAAACTAACTCAAGGTAAGACCTGCATCCCAAGAACAACACAAGACTATCCAGTTGGCCTAACCATCAGGAATGACCTACTATGGTGCGGTGACCTGTACTGCAATTCCCAAACCTATTCTCCACAAGTTATGTCTTGTTGATTTATATATATACAAACACACAAACACATACAGAATTATTAACCTGTTATTTAAAGTTAATGATTTTTTTGCTTTAAATCATATTTTCAAATCTTCTCAGTCAGTAGAGACAAATAAATCACTTCTTGTCTAACTAATGTTTTCAAATAATGTCAGCCTTTATTAAGTTAGTAACATAGTTAAAAAAGCTTCAACCAACAACTCTACAAGAATATGTTTGACATTCCTAGAAAAATGCTTTCCACTTTGTTTAACACACTTACAAAAGCTTTAACTCAAAAATACTACAAATATAATATTTGTATAATGTGCTTGCAAAAGTCTTTAATTTAACAACTATACAACGAAAAGGTTAGTTTTCTAAGCTCAAAGAAGTTTTTCAGTTAACTGAATATGCAAGAGGTTGGTACAATGGACCTATTCCATATTAGAGAAGGAATGTTGATTATAATTCCAAATTTACTAAGTATATCTATACAAAATATGGCAAACTTTGAGTAAAATATACATATCTGTTATACATAAAAAATCAGATGTGTTACAAAACTATATGTACTTAAGATTCGCCTGTAATTTGACAACATCAGTCTGACTCAGACAAATCAGAAAACAAGTCATGTGAAGAACAAAAATATTTTTATCCATTGAGCATTTTGCATTTACATAACATCTTGAGCCTCCATGATGCACATCTACAGTTTTTTCAGCATCTCTGTATGTTGTATTTGGTATTTATTCTTCTCTACCACAAACTGTTGTTATATCAGCATTGTAGGGTAAAATGAACAGTTGGTAGCTTTGAGATCAATTACATAATACCATGTTCATTGACATTCTGTAAAATGTCACAATATGCACATTTTGACCCCCACCTGTGTATATAGGGTTAGGACTCTACAAGAAAGGATTATTTCAACATAAAAACCACTTATCAGCATATCTATTAAAATAAAACAATGTACCAGAACAAAAAATAACATGTAGTCTTTTCAGTTTAAACAACCATCATTTTAAAAGCACATATAGCAGAAAAGTTTTTTTTGTTTGATTTATATATATATATATATATCTACAGAACTATTAATCTGTTATCTAAAGATAATTACATTTTGCTTTATATTTCCAAATATTATCAGTCAGAAGAGATAAATATGTCACTTCATGTCTAGTTAATGTTTTGAAATAATATCAGCCTTTTGTATATTTGTAAACTTTTTTAGGTAAAACAATTTTTGAAAGTATTACCAATATTAGATATAATGTTAAAACTTCCCCTTTCACAGTATTTGAATATATGTAGTTCCTGAAATCTTTTTTTCTTGTCAGCAACGAAAGAACATGATTATTCATTGAATTTTTACATCACAGTAAGTGATGATCCTCATATATGGTATATCCTGGTATATTTATATAGTAAATACTGTACACATACACACACCTTAAAATAACCTTGTGCTACCCAACATGTCAGCAGGATTTTTCTTACTTATGCAAATGTAATTATTTTGAACATTTTTAAACAAAACTACATGTATTTTAAGAATAGAACAAGAGACTAGTTATTTCCAATAAGAAATTGTTGATAACCGAAAAACCTGTCATTAATCATACATTCACTCGTAGGAGCTTTATCACTTTAATGTCCTTTCCATCCTTCAATTATGCATTGTCTACAGTTAAGACCATGCTAATTAATGATATCAAATACAAGAACTTTCAAGTATCTAAGAGTTTATCATCATAATATAGATAAAAGGATTGTTAAAAAGACCAATATTTAATTTCTACAATTTTATACCAAATATATTTTTTGAACTATGTTATTACATAAATATTTTGTTTATTTTTTAAATATATTTTATAAATAACTATGCAAAAACAATAACATATAAACATGTATTATTTTAACTAGCATTTTAAAAGATGACGCCAGTAACACCTACATGTTTTTCCAAACCCACATATCTATTCATTGCACAAGATAGTTTGATTGTTTATCTAAACAATTGTGTGCTTATTCCAAACAAAAGACAATCCATCTCACAGAGAAATGTAAAGCAGTAGTTTCTGCTTGCATGCAGCTGATAAATCATCTACATGTAGAACTTTGGCTAAACTCCAAGATCCTCTACTGTGCATATCAGAGAAGAAACATTCTATCTAGCCATCTGTAATCAAATTAATTCAAGGCAACATTAAATCTATCTCTTGTTCAACAGTATAAGTTTAGACTGTAACCAGGTTTGTTTTTCATATTTCATTTATAAATCTGCAGTCTTTCAGGAGAATCCTGTTTCAAAAATATTATGAATTAAAAACTAACAAACATTCATAAAACAGTTTGGTCTGAAACATTACAGACAACTGTCATTATATAAAGGGAAATTTAAAACTAATCATAATTATTTCATTTATACTATTTACTTAAGCATATTATGTTTATTTAATATATTCTTTTATTTACACATACACAATTATACAACCTTTTATACATATTGAGACATGATCCACAAATATTCAGACATCATTAATAAAAAGGAATGTGTCATAACATGAGCTATCACCAAACTTTCAACTAACCATTCCAAATCCCTTCCTTTTACCGTCAAACTGATCACTAAGTCCAATCAACCAATCTGCCCATTTTAACATATTAACCTAAGCCTAGCATTCAATCCTAGTGACCTACTTAAAACTTAAACCCCAAAGTTAAGTCTTGGCAGTATCTTTAGATGCCTTATCAAACCTCTGTACTTATCAATTAACTCCTCTGACTTACCCTTCCCTAGATTATCAGTCCCTATGTGCACAACAAAAAATACATGACTTACTTATCAGTTATGTCCTTCACCACTGACCTTGGATAGTATTAACTTAATCTTTTATCTCTATTTACACCACAGACTATTCTATCCACAACCTTACTAACAAATCACTTATAACTGTTATCTCTTTAAATTTTACAGTACCATTCCGTTCTTTATTTCCATTCCCCTTCTTCATAAGCTAATAAATGAAAGCTTAAACATATTATCTAATGAAACATGCTCTCTAATCCTAAATGCATTATTCTGAAGTTCCTCTCCGAGCCCTGTTGCCATTTTACACAATTTGCACTATATTTTTCAACCTCTAATTTCTCCTCCAACCTGCAAACATGTTTTACATCCTCACTATTACCCTCTCTTAAAATGCATACTAATCCAAAATTTTCAAACAGAATCCACTCTTTGCATCTATCAAACCCCACAAGTAGCATGTTCTTAACACCAACACAATTCATAACCATATTACCCAAAAAAGAGAGTTAAACTAGTGTAAAAACTTAATATACTTAGAAGTTAAATCTAACTTTCACTCACTCTATGAAGTATCCAACACTATCATCTTTATATAGAAACCATAGGCTATAAACTTGTTTTTCTATTTAAGTAGTTATTTGCTTATAAATTGTATTATCACTATAGAATAAACAATATAATAGATAAATTACACAAATTAGCACCCAGACTCTAATTATGGTAATTGAATTTTTTTTTTTACCAGAGCACATTTCATCTCTCATTTATTTACACTGATGGGTAAAAACTTTTAATACAACATATCTATATTGTAACTGATGTTTCTACATACAAGTATTTCTCATATTGCTTAAAAACCAAGTGCATACAAATTTGATTGTTTTAAGCTTTTTTAATAAGATATAAATACTGTAACAAAGTAAAAATAAATTTTCATTACTTTTAGGTACAAAAATAAAAAAGAATTAGCAAACTGTTTTGACTTCAACACAGTTATGAGAGTTGCAGAGTAGGAATTGTCCTTCAAATCCTCATACATAGTTTGTATATCCATCTACCCATATCTGTTTATCACTTGTC